TAGAATATCTCCCAAACAAAACTCAATATCAGTATTAACGTTCGAGAATGTGTAAACAATTGCATTAAATCCTTGTGCTTTTTTAGAATTTCTCAACAATGATTTAATATAACCAGCTAAGCTCTCATGATTTTGTTGAAAATATAAATTATACCAATAATCTATTTCTTCATTAGCTAGCATCGATTTTTTGGAGCGTACAATCCCGTCTGGCAAAGCTATACCTATCAACATTTCTTTGCACCTATGCAATAATTTCAATTCATCTCCTAATTCTGGATTATTACTATTATGAATTATTAAACTTTGCAATGTTTCCTCTTCATCAAATCCAATAAAAATGTCACTTTCATTAAACTTTGATGCAGTTTCATCTTTTATATTTAAGAGTGTTGATATTTGTTTCGACCATTCTGCAAGTTTATTAAATAATCTTTCCATACTATCATCTATTATATCATTAATAGTCATTTTTTGTTTTTCAAATCGGTTTAATAATGGTGGATCTGAATAATCCACTTTTGTTTCGTCAAGAACTAATATACAACGGAAATTTTTATGAACGCTAACCATAGGATTTGAATAAGCACCCAATGCAACACGTGTATAAAATGTTTGATTTCCTTCTTTTCCTACAGTTATATAGTTTTGATTCCATAAATCATAAAGACTTCCTGTAAAATTTTTTAAAAAAAAATTAATGTGCAATTAATGTGCATATTAATGACAAGTGATATGTATTTAAGTATGCTATATCATAAATGATACAAATATTACCATATATTGAATCAAGATCAGTCAATATTAATGGTCTTCCTGCCTCTACGCACATCTATTGTTATTAGTAAATGTTTACGACAATGTAATTAGTAAATGTTATAGAATTTGTCATTGTAAGACTTAGAGAACAAATTGAATCAGCTTACCATAATACGATTTAATACACTATACTGGTAATCACCATTAAGATCGTTAGGAAATTGACTGCCATAAATAATAACTGGTTCCAAATCCAAATTTTCCAACAATTCTTTATTCCATTGTTTTAATTTATATGTCAATATGTTTACGATAGAACTACTTTTTCCAATAATCATCAAGTGACGTGCATTTTTATCTTTTAAATTG